AATGTAGCTATTCTTTCTGTACTCTGTATAGTGCTATATTACTCTCTGATTGACAATCTTTGATTAAATAATTCTATTCAAGTTTGTTATTTGACAATCTCAAATCATTATTAAATTCAAACAAGTTACAACACTGAGACAAATCGAAATTGAAAAGCACATCAAGTCAGGAAGGAATTTCTCTACTTTGATCAACAATGAGTCACCCTGTACTGAGAAGGAAAAAAGGAAAAAGCCAGCAGACTCGGAATTGACTTTGTTTTTAATCCAGAAGTTGGGAGGCAGTCTTGAGACAGGAGGTTACCATGAATGCTGGATCCCTCCTATCACGAAGGGGTGTGCTGTGATACTGATTAAGGCAATAGGTATCTCTTATTAGAAAAGGGATTTCATCTAATATGAAAGTGTAATGGTTGTGCTTTATGGGGTTTTTTTGTGTAACTTGTATGTGTTTGCTTTCCTTCCTATTTCGTCTTTGAATCTCTGTTTTTTTCTCTATTAAATACACTTTTTTGTTTATTTTTATCCCACAGAGATCTGTAGTGTGCAAACTATGTGGAGTGTATATGCCAAAATAAGCTGCTTTTACATCTCTGGGGATGATGAACTGGAAGGGTCCGAGCGTCTGTTAATCAAGAACTCAAGGAGGCTGTATTTGGGGAGACTCAGAATGGCCAGGTCTGTTGGTGTTACCCTGCAAGGTGTAACTAGGCTGATGAGAACCAGGGTGAGATCCTATGCTTGCAGGCAGGTTACTGGTGTTGGGGAATTGAACCACAACTGCACAGCATTAAGGCCTCCAATGTAACAGGGCAGGTGGTGACAGAACCCTTTACTGGTCTGGGTGGACCCCAACACATTACACAGACAAAGGAGAACATGGAAACACACAACTGAAGCAGAACTGAAAGCCATTAAAATGATATGGGAAGAAGCTAAGACTACAGCAAGAGACCAACAAAGATGGTAGGCAGTAATGAAGGCTCTATGTTCTGTATGGAATAGAGTCATAAATCAAGTAAAGTGCTATCTTGTGTGTACACATTATGATACAGTTTTTAAATACATGATCACACACTGTTTTTTCCACAGGACCCCTGCCTCATTCAGTGCTCTGGGGAGGAATCAGGGTTGTGTACTGAAGGAAACTGTTGTCTATAGGACCTCTGCCTCATTTGCTGCAGAAATTGGAAGAGTGAATAAGGCGATTGCAGGAAGAGAAAGGACAGTTTCATGATTAAAGCAGTTGAATGCTGACCTGGAGAATTGGATTCTATTCCCCCCCCCGCCGCCACCGAGATCCTATGTGATGCTGGGCAAGTCACTTAAACCATACTTTTCAGACATAATCACTACTTGTATGTTTTTAATTTTCTAGATGCCTCACTTGAGGTGCTGGGGTCCGATCTGTAGAAGTGCTGAGTACTCATAGCTGCAAATGAAGTCAATGAGAGTTGCGCTTTGAACATATAAAGTGCTATATAATGTTAAGTATTCTGAAAAATCAGGACCTAGACATCTCAAATTGTGTGTCCAAAATTAGTGGATACTTTTGACCTTAATCTTTCTGTGCCTTAGTTAAATTAGGGATAACACTCCTCCCCCTTACCTCACAGAGGTGTTGTGAAAATAAATTCAGTATGAAGTAAGTGATGAGTGCCAAAGAAAAGCCCATGAGAAAATTATTAATTCTGTCCTCAGAATAGGTTTGAATGGTCTGCAGCAAATAAAGCATGGGGCCACACATGGGGAGAAAACACAGACATCATAGATGGAATTGGTCCATGGTTTTATGTGGCATCAATAAGTAATCCATATATTGCAGCCATAGAGCAATGTGGTGATGACGACAGCATGGTAAACATCAATTTCTGTTTGCAGTTTGACACCCTGCTTGTTCCAGAGACAACACTGAAGGTTTCCAAAGGCATCGCTGGCTGCACCAATGTGCTTCATATTGTCATTGTCAAACACTGCATCTTGAGAAATGACACTGCCTAGGTAGCAAAACTTGTCAACAATCTTGAGTGGTTTATTATTAATGGTCACAACTGGAGTAGTTGCACTACTTCCTGTCTTCTTTAGTCTGATCATTAAGCCAAAATGTTTTGCTGCACACTCAAAGCAGTCAGTGAATGTCCCTGAGGTTATGGGCCAATAAAGCACAATCATCAGCAAACAGTAATTCGCTAATAACTGTCTTCATAACTCTTGTCATCACATGCTGATGATGCAGCCTCAAGACATCTTCATCCATACAATACTGCATATAAATGCTACAGTCTGAATGCATCGATTAGAACAGCTGCAACACGATGCTAAATAGTGCCGGAGCAAGAACACAGCCTTGTTGGTGAGAGAAAAGGGAACTGAGAAGCAGCCTTGGTCAAGGACACAAACCTGTGATAATTAATTAATAATAATGTTCTGATATCAGGTAGATATAAAAACCATGAAGAGAGAATTATTGGTTGGGGTTGTCAAAGGGCTTGGAAGTGGCCAAAGGTAAATTTAAAATGTTTTAAATGAGGCCTAATAGATTTTCTACTAATGATGCCTATTAGGCTGTATAAACGTCTTCCAAAAGTAAGTAGTGGGAGTCCCAGATCTGGAGTTATTTAAACTAGGTGAGGAAACTCTGAAGAATATACCACAGGGAATCACCAAGCGCTGGCAGGACAATGGACAGGATGCCCTAATATAAATCCCTTCCATTTCTTAGCACTTCTCTAGCACCAATATTCTTTAAAGTGCTGTGTAAACATCTACCCGCTCAACACCACCCAGAGGCACAATTACTATTAGGGGAAACTGAAGAAAGAGGTTCAAAGACTTGGCCAAGGTCACAGAAGAACCATGCCTTCACAGCCCATGCCTCTCCAGCCATTTGGAGGTAATTAAGAATGACAATGTGCATTCGGAAATCAAGATGCAGGCATGGTTTCCAACAACACACTCATATGAGCTTTAGAAATCCACATCCTTTGGCCCACATCTGAGAGAAACTTCCCCTAACAGAGAAGGATGAGCTTGGCTTTGCTAGGAAAATCCCATTTTCCTCTAAAATGCATGTTGAACTCACCATAAAAGGGCTTTGGATCCGAAATGATATATGGAGTGTCCGATCACTACTCCCCAGCGATAATTGTCCTGTCAAGTGCTAGAGGTGACATTGATTGTCATGTAATTTCTTGGGCCAGTTTCTGGGCAAAGAAATCTCTCTAAGGCCCAGTGCCCATCCCCCTGTCCTCTGGGGAGAGCCAGCTTTTCTTCACATGCCTGAGAGCACAATAAGGGGACCTGCTATTCTGCAACATGTATTGGCTCAGAAATAGAAAGGGGGAGAAAAAGCTTCCCCGATTTGGCTCAGGTCTCCTCATCTATCCCTGCCAGGGGTGGGGGGCGGGAGGCAGGGGAGCGGCAGGGGCTGGCTCTGAGCTCTCTCGCTCTGTCTCCCCTGGTGGTGGCCGGAGAAGAAAAGACACCAGCAGCCCCACCCTCGGACAGGCGCCGGAGTGTCCGTGATTCCGCCCCTTCGGGCAGCCCGCATAGCTAACCATCGGAGGCACGACTCAGCGCCTCCTTTGCAAATCACACTGGGGGGCTCGCTCTCTTCTGGGAGTGGCGCGGGGGGAAGCTTTGGGGTGCGGATGGCCCAGGGGCAGCAGACAGGGTTCCCCCGGGTGTGTCAATTGCAACCTGGAATCACTGCGCTGGGGTGGGAGGGGGCTGTCTGGAAGGGAAAGCAGCTTCCAAGCGGCACGGTAACAAGCCAGCTGCAATCGGAAGATCGCTGCTGTCCTTGGCAGGGGGACTGCAAGAAAAAGCCTCCGCCCGAAGCCCAGACACTGGCAGCTCCTCTGAGGAGCCATTAACCTTCCGCTTTCCCCTTACAAACGACAACTCCCCTCCCCCCTGCTCTGCTTGGTGACCCGGCTGCTCTGCTTAAAAACAAAACCAAAAACCCTCTTCTGGGAATGGGAAAGGGCAAGGCTATTGCAAAACGGAAGCGGAGCTTGTTTTCGGATTCGGTGCAGAGAGCCCAGGGGTTGCTGGGTGCAGGGGATTCGGTGCAGAGAGCCAGGGACAGTTCATTAGAGTCAGGGTGCATCAGGGCAATGCAGCCCCCAGCCCTTCCACCCCAGCTGAGCGTTGGAGACAACCCCCCCGGGTTCCCTGCTGCAGCCAGAGAGCTGAGAGCGGCTGGATGCCCTGGCTGGGGGGCGGGAGTAGGTTGCAGGCTTATCCCAGCACGCGTGTGACCTAGGGGGTGCCTAGCTATTGCTTATTAATTATAATTATATTTATTATTAATTATTATTATTATTATAAAATGACAGTAGGAAGAAGCAAATCCAGATTTATCCAGGCCCTGTATTCAGCATCCGCTGCTCTGGGACTGTCCCCGCTGTGGTGACACCGGCCCTTTCAGGGCAGGAGCAACTAACCAGTGTGGGGATCTGCAGAGCGCCCTGCCTTTCCTCCCTCCCCGTTTGATACAGCGGGCCTGAACTGCGCTGTTCTAGCTGTGTCTGTAATATGGGGGGAGGTTGCGAGGGGCTATTCCACAGTCCTTTCGAGGCCAAGGGAAGTTTCAGCACCCAGGAGAGTTCCAGCCGCCTTCCTGGGAAAGGGGTTTCTATAGGAAACAGCTCGTTGATGACCCAGATGAAGGCCTCGAAGAATACAAAATAAGCCCCTGCAGACTGGAACTAGACACGGCTGCATTAGTACTGCGCGGGGGACCTGCCCTGTGGGAAGCTAAAGCGGGAGTGTCTGGCTTTCTGGCTAGGTCCCTCCATGAGTTTCCACAGCTCAAGACAGCGCCCTTCCCCTAACTCCAGCCTCCCAGCCCCTCCGTAGGCGCAGCAACCCCAGGCAGACCCATCCCAGCTTCTCCTCATCCCAGCAGCACCCCCAATTTCACTCACTACCCGCCCCCCACCAATCCTCCCCACCTCCCAAGACCGCCACCCTGCCTTCTAAATTCCTCAACCCACCTCATAAGGGAAAAGATGGTCCTCTGACCCAAATCTTTGCACTCACAAAGGATGGTTGGCCCTGGGAGCCTGGGGACCGTTTTCCTACCATGTGTGTGGCTGAGTGGTCTTGGGTCGGGCACGCTGGGAAATAAGCTCTTCACCACATCCCAGCAAGCCACCTCATCTTCCCACCATCAGTAGGCTAATAGACTAAAACTGTCTTGACAGCTCACCTCAAACAGCCCTGACGCTGCAATATGTCCACACTGAGGAGTTTATGTACAACCCACACCCTTCAGCCTGTATTTCTCCGCCTGTGGGAGGTTTCCTCTCCCGCAGCCTACTTCCAGGCTTCTTGCTTTCATTAACAAAAACCAACCACCCTGCAGATCGAAACTGACAAACGCGAGGACAAGGGGGAAAGTGGCCACAGCGTCACCTCACCCTATGAGCCCCGCTTTCAGAGGGGATGCTGCATTTCTTAGCATAATCAGCCGCACTGGATAATGACACGGGACTATTGTCCAGCACAAGGAACACCACTAAACTGTGGCAAATGTGATAGTGAACGGGACATCTGGAGGAAGGAGAAGAATACTGTTGGCCCAAGCACGTTCTGGAACCCCATCATCGCAATGGAGAGAGAGAGAGAGACCTTGGAATGGCCCCATGGTCCTTCCTCCCCAAAATTCGTTACCCCGACTAGACATTTTCCAGATGCCTACATCTATGTGTGCCAGTGATGTAATACTTACCACTGTTATTTTCTGATGCTGGGTAGAGCTGAGGATACATAAATACAGTAAAGGATGATGGGACAACCTATCCATCACCTAATCCCATACCATACTTTGTTCATTGCCTATACCTGGACAGTGACTTTCTCCCAACTAGAACATATATTAGGGTTACACCATATTTCCATCCATAGCTTCAGGTCACTGCCCAGATTTCTCTTAAATTGTTTCCAGACACGTCACTGGCTTTCCCCTGAATACAATGAAGGAAAACGTTTTCCCCTTCGATTCTTTCTTTTTCTCCCTCTCCCTTGCCCACAAAACAGGTTTTTCTTCATCCTGTTCCAAAACTGATAAATACCTTATAAATTCTCAAATCCCAGGAAATCCCCTTTCAGGTGATGTTTTTGAGCATTCACTCATATTCCACACTCTTCTCCCAGGCAGGTCAGGTTACCCACATTTCCATTGTTGTTTTGATGGTACGTCAAAGAGGTGGCTAGTGCGATAATGAAATAATAATAATTTTCACATTGAGACAGCTTTGCATTTTCTACAGCACTTTGCAAACATTAATTAGTATCCCTGCCATCCTGTAGGTTTTACCACTGAATGCGTAATTGATGGATGAGCCTGGGAAACATAAAATAAATATTGAAAAGCAAGAACTTGCAGGACAAGCATTTGTGTGTGTTGCAACAGCCAATATACAGTAATGCAATGTACAGAGGTAAAATCATGTAAACTACTATGTTATTGCTGAAACGGCTCAGAGAACCTTTGAATTATTTCTCCCTTTGTCATATCAGTGTTCAATTGTGTTAAAAATGCATGTGTGCCTATTTTCCAGGTAGCAACAGGAGAGCTTTCAACCCCAATAGGCTTTTCATGTAAGACATAAAACATTTGACATGGACTGTACTATTAAAACTAAAGAAAAGGGGGGGAGAGGCATTCAAGGACTGATTTCCATTTCAAACTCCATTCTAGCACTTTGTACTCCAGCACCGTTGGTGGATCAATATTTAATGCTTGGAGATTCTAGCTCCGCAGGAGTCATGTCAGGGGACCTCTAGAGCCAATCTGCTTGGGTAGAGGAGTGATAATTATTCATGGGCTCCTGCCTCTTGCTCCTTCTCTTGCACAGCCCCACGCTGCTGACTCAGTGCCTTATTCAGTCTTCTCTCTCCCTCTCCACTGCTGTAGCTGGACCCCTTTGCCTTCACAGCCTCTGAGAATCTGCACATCCATCCCACCATGGCTAAAACAGCAATGGGTAAGAAATCGTATCTCTTTTTCTTCAGCCAATGCAACAGCCGCTATATCCTAGGACCACCGGCTGTCCTGGGCGCTCCCTTAAGAGGCCTTAATGTTTAGAAAAAGCCAAGACAATGTTAACTCTTTTTGTTTAGTTTTTTAAGATCAAAAAGCAGGGAGGAGGGTTGGGAGCCCGGGGTTCTTTGGAAGTCTTAGCCTGAGATCTGATGGCAGATTGCTCTGGGGTGATTAAGGCAAATAAGTTGAACACTCATTTCCAGGAGATACATTTGGTTTTAAAGGGAGTTTTTGTGAGTGGCACCAAAAAAAGTGCCCTTACCTATTCTGAAATATAGTATGTGTGTGTTTTTTATAACGCCCCTTATCGCCAGGTCTCAAGATATCGCTCGCTCTTCATTTCAGCTATTTCTTAGCGATGATCTGTTAAAAGCAAAACACTTGCACGATGAAACTGACCAGTTTCGTGGCTGAAAATGAAAGACACCTTCATCTCCCCAGCGACGGGATTTAGAGGGAGCCTTTTCTCTTTTGCTAATTCGATGCATAACCCGATCGCCTTGCAAAGAACAGGGTCCGCCCTTTGTTTTAAAGGGGGGGGGGGGGTGACATTGGGTTTCTTTGTGTAACGCTCTGCGCCGCTCCTCCCGGAGTTCCTGAGGAGAGGGCACCTGCAGAGCCCAGCCCCACAGACTCCAGCTGCCCAGCACAATGCAGGCAGACAGACCCCACCCATACGGCTGCTGCAGCTGTCTCCTCCCGAGCACGCCCAGGGAGCCCTCGCCCAGCCGACAGTCACCTCCCCGGTCCCCGTAGACATTGCGAAGTGGGGCGGAGGGAGGGATATCAACGCAAAGGCTGAGTGCACAAACCCAAACTGCTTTGGAAAGAGCCCACCTCGTTCCTGCTCCAAAGCCTGGGATCTTGTACCCCTGCAGTCTGACTGCACACACAAAAAGTAGGTCATTGGATAATAAAGGGTATCCTCCTACCGGGATTTTTTTTTCTAGGTAACGCAGCAGCTTCTCTCCCCACCCCCGTCCTGTTTTGTCGGGAGTGCCACGCTTATTTATTTATTTACTTACTTTGTCCCACTAGAGCCAAGGCAAACTGTATGTGTGGACTCGGCAGCCCCGCCCCATCCATCCCCCTCATTCTGGGTGCGGGTGTAGTTAGCGTGCGTGGCTTTGCCTAATCTCTGGTTCTGTTTGATACCTGAGAAGCAAGAAGGCGAGATGTCCGATGATCGCAGGGGCTCGGAGCCACGATTGCGGTTTTGTTTAACCTTCTGGGGAATCGCCACTCTCTAGGGCTAAAATTCAGAGGCACACGCAGGACATCCTCCCCCGACTCCTTTTGTTTCACTGACTGCGGTTAACTGCTTTGTGGTGCGAATGGGTGGAAACCGAGGTCGCAGTGGAGGGAGTGGAAAGGAGCGAAATGCATTAGCCACCAGACCAGTCTTTTAAAGGATCTCCCTATCATCAAATTCCTTTCTGCTTCCTTTGGAAAGGGGGAAAATGTGGGTGATGCCTTAGAAATCAAAGTGTTTCAAAATATTTCCCTATCAAACTCCCCCCACGCTCACAACAGCCACCCAGAATAAGGAAAGCAAGGTTTAAATGCCATTATCTGGTTCTCAGAAAGAAACTAAACCCACGTCCTCACTACTGAATCTCTGTGGCAATAATAATCCTGTTTCATTCTTGATCATTTGTCCAAAGTTAACATGAATCCTCCTGACACTAGCTCTGCATGTAAAAGCAACACTGGGATTCTCTTTCTTTGATCTGAGAAATAATCCCTGTGGGTGGAAACCATTCTAACCTGGCATTGTCACCTGTAGGGAAAAGGCATGAGACAGCTGTATATGCAAACAGACGGAGACACAAGCTGTGGGAGTCTGGCCAGCTCTGCAGTGCTGAGCAAGCCATCCCCTCCCCATTGCAGCAAACTGGTAATCAGTATTGATAATTTGTAGTCAGTTGGAGACTAATCACTGCAGAAGGCCCCTGTTAGGAATTCTGTCGCCATAGAAGAAAGGGCTCTTCATTCTTTGATTAATGGTCTTGGCCTTCTTCAAATATAAAGGTTTCTGCAGCAGGTTGAAATCATTAGATTCACCCAGAGACTGACTGACTAAATCTCCCCAGCTTGCCTATTAATTAGGTCCTGATTAGCAAGCCTCTTATTTGCTCTCCTAAAGATATACAGCTACATATTTTTAAAAACTTCTTTAAAATATTAATTGCATTGCAATCTTTGAAGAGTTGGTTTTTTAACTATTTGATTAAGGATTAAACGGCTTCTGTCTATAAACTCCCAGAGAAGTAATGGCTCTATTGTCCACTTCTCTAGTATTTACTTTTAAGAGATTTGACTTTAGAAGGCATTTCAAGTGCTAAAATATAACAGGACCTTTTTGTCTATTCCAAGGGTTTGCTTCTATAGAAATGTAATGAAAAAGGAATGTGTTTTCTTCCGAAAATAAGCTTTAGTTCTACCTGGGAAAAAGAGGGTTATTTCCAATCTTGCAAATCTCCCATTGCTGATTAAATAAGCCACACTGGTTCTGGACCAGCACATGCCGCTTTTACCCACTTGTCCATTGAGGGGAATCACAGTGGTTTAATTCATTTCCTACTGTACACTGTATTATTACAAAGCACTAAATAAGGGCTAGATCATGTCAGCACTGGAGTCAATAGCAAAACTCTCATCAGCTTATGTTGTGCAGGATCAGGCTCCCCATACTGCTTATGGCCTCAGTCCAGCAAAGTACTTAATCACATGCCTAATTTTAAGCATGTGAATAGTCCTATTGACTTCAATGGAATTAAACATGCTCAGATAGACACGTGCTTAATATTCTGCAACATTCAGAATGAATATTAAATGTTCCTCACAGGGCCTCACTCTGAACTCCTTAGTCAAGCAAAATTTCCTTTAGACTTCAACAGGAATTTTGTCAGAATGAAAAATCTAGGCCTCAAGATGCTTTTATTAATGGCCAATTAGGTTTCAGTTGTTGTTTTTGTTCTATATGTGTGTGTGCATTAATCACTCGATTTCATATAACCTGACTGCGCATGGGATTGCCATTTCTTTTAATTTTACCCTAAATCTTCTGAGCTTCTGTGCAGTATGTGCCTCAGGTGGCACATGACCAGGATTCATCACCGGATTTGGTCCGCTGGTTGGATCACTGTCTTCCCTGGCTTGAGCTGGGTACTGATGGGGAGTGCAACAT